TAAACTTTACACATTATATAGGATACACTAATGTTGTTTATGAGGTTTGTATACTATTATACGTGTACGTTTTGGGAGGGGGGTTAATTTAATTTTTTTTTACATTTGTCGTGTACCATATTGCTTGTGGATCATCTATGGCTTTGTTGGTTACAGGGTTCCTAATAATATACAATTCACACAATAAAATATTAACAAACATACCATCAATATTGAAAATAATCCATTAATTATTGTTGAAGTTCATATATTTTATATTGAAAAGGAGTGATTTTACCCAAAATTTTGTCCAGTTCTTTACAGTGAATATTTTAAATAACGTAAAATTACTGAACATGGTACAATACATATCATACAGAGTCATCTGGTACTTCTAGTATGAAGTTCATTCTGGCTTCAGACTTATTCTAAACATCTTCCATAATAATTTTGCAACAATGAAAATTGAGTTCCAAGGTAAAAAATATGCTGGTTGAAGGTAGACAGTACTGAAGATGAGTTTAATAATGATAACTATATGGTATTGAGTAGTGAAAGTGAAGAAGATTGTTTATATGTTGATGAAAATGCCAGTGATACAAACTCTGGTGAAAGACGTGAAAGATACTGATGAAGAACTGGAAGTGTATTTGTCAAAAAATAAATAAGTAGTGGATTATAACACCAAGATAGCAGCCAATCCAGGAGGAGATTGTCTGCAAAACTTTGCAAAGAAACACCAGGTCAAATAAGATGTATAAAGATAAATATTGATACATTGTAATCTGAATTCAGTCTATTCATGATGAAGATCATTATGGCTTAATTACTGAAATGAACAAATCTAGGAAGAAAGGCTGTATTAAAATAAAAATTGAATGGATTCTAACAAACAACATTATTTCTTTGGTGTGATGGTGCTAGGTGGTGTTCATAAATCAATCAACAAAGAAATCAAGCAGCTTTATAATTGGGACATTGATAGACCAATTCTTTTACAAGCAGTAGCATGTAACAAATTTTGTCTTAATTCAAGACGAATCTAATTTGAAGAACTAAGAAAAGGGCAAACAAAGGAAATATCTATTCTACAAAAAAAATCATTTTCAATGAATGAGTACAGACTCTTCAGCAGTTTTGTATGTAATCAGTGAATTTATCCAATGGTTAGCAACAAATTGCATTTCACACTAGTCTGGAACATATGGCATAAACATTTGGGTATGTTGTGACGGTGATGCGTCTTATGTTTATAATGTGCAAATGTATCAGGAGAAGGACAGTCAAGAAGATAAAAACGAGGAGAGAGAATTGTCTGGACATGATTCTAAGGCTATAAAACAGTGGTTATAAAGTAACATGTGATAATTTCTTTATGAATTTGAAGTTTGCTAAGAAATTACTAGTTATGCAACTTAGTACAATATGAAAGAACTGAACTACCACCTGGAATGGTTTGTTAAAAGTTGTGCCAAAATCTCAACTAAATTTGCTGTCCTAAATTAAAATTGTTCAAACAAGAGAAAAGTAGATGTACTGGCCGAGTATTATGTGTGACTAGCCAAAAATTGGCAATACATCAGCAAGAAAGCCAGTGTTGATGCAGGTGGAGTGAATACTGCTGACAAAATACTAAGTAGCTACTCAACTAAAAGGAAAACAGAGAACCGGTTGCTACATATTATATGTATTCTGCTTGAATGTTTTTGTTTTATGCCTTCATTTGGATTCAAGTTGGAATAAAAGGTCATGTAAGTGATGCTTTTCTTCGAAATTCAAGGAAAAGAAATAATTCAACAAAACTAATAAAATGGTGGTCAAGTTCCTGAGCATCCAATGCTGAATGCCAACTAACAGACTGGCATTACAAGAAAACATGGACATTGTAAGATATTTCCCTTGAGAAATAAACAACTGAAGATACATCATAGCTGTGATAGGTTAAAATGGTTTTATTAACTTATATATGTTTTCCTAGTTATCACACTACACTTATCTTTTAATCTTGATTGAAATTTGAAAATCCTTATAATGCTCAATATCATTGTGTAGTAAACTAACCAACTATATATATATATATATATATTCAAAAATAAATGCATATTGTAGTGGTTGATGTGGACTTCACTGGAAGTGAGCAGTAGAAAAAAAAAACACTTTGGTAATTTAAGTGTTAAACTTGCTATATGTTATTTACATTTAGATTCAGTGTTTAAGAATTTGTTAGTGACATACAGTGGTATGACAATCAATTCAACTAAAATATTTACACACAAACATTTTGTTTACAACTACCTTATACAAATTTTTATCATGAGCATTAGAGCTGGTCAATTAATTGTCATGCTAATTAATCAATTATATTCAACTAATTGAGTATTCTCATGAGATAGCTAGAAGAAACTGATCTATTATTCTCCTATGAGATATAAAAAAAAAACTTGTTACCCAAAAAATTGGATTTTAATACCTATGGTAAGCAGAGAACACGGATAATCCATTATTTAGCATCATGCTTGACAACAAACATGGCAGTAATAATCGGAAACTAATATTGATTCGTTGATGATTTTCATGACAATAGTCAATTAATCATTTATTTTATGCAACAATAATTGATTGATTATATCAATTTAATTGCTCAACTCTAATGAGCATTATATTTTTTAAAGTGGCCTGGGATGAAACGAGTACTGCTATTGTGAGCTGGTCTCAAAACATTTTCACTTCACTGTCTCCACTGTGGGATCCTAAAATTAGGGATGAAGTTACAAGAACCAAGATATCTGAAAGTGAAATCAACAGGTTGAGATCCCGTCTACTAATACCAGGTACTGCTCTCTCTCTCTCTTTTTCTATTATTATCGCCTCGACTACTGAAGGTGGATGAAGGTTATGCTTTTACTCCTATGTATGTGTTTGTCAGTAAGATTTCTCTAATGGTAGAGTGGATTTGGATGAAAGTTGGTATACATTTGAACTATGATGCAACTTAGAAGTTTAGTTTTTGGAGGGTCAATGGTTAAGGTTACAGTAAGGTCACGAACATAAAAAAAAAATCCCTATCTGTTAACATATGAACCTATTTTTCACGCTATTTTTTTATATAACTCAGTCAAAAATGATTGGATTTTGATGAAACTTGTGGACATGTGTAGAGTATTATTTCTCATCATTGTCTTACCAAAAATGCTCTGTGTCCATTGAAATTATGGACATAGACACATTTTTGTATTCCTTGAGAGCTGAATATGATCAGTGCTGCATGGCAGAGGTATGTGCTCTACTGTGTGCCCCTCTAATTATTTATGTGTTTATAAATGGATTTATAACTCTTTCCAGATTTTTCCTTATAGTGAAAACCAGCCAGAAAAATGAAATAGTATAGTACTGAGAGTTATAGAGAAATTTTTTTTTTTTAATTCATTAACAAACTAAATATATGAAAATCTCTGTTAATCTTTTGAAAAGATAAAAAAAAAAATTGTGGTGATCTGTCAAGCTCTTCAATATTTTGTTGTTGTCTTTTGGGGTCTTGGAGGGGGGGGGGGTATATGTGATGCTCTGATGTATTGAGTAGTTTGATTAATATAATCTGAACAGTACCAAACTTTTTTTGTTGTTGTTGTTGGAATCATGCAAAACTTTGATTTGCTTTTTATCATCATCATCATTCATCAAAAATTTATATACTGTATATAAAATGAAAATAGTTATTTTTAGATAGTTCCTACTTATTTCAGGCCTATATAATTTCATATTGTTATTCTAATTTGTAAACAGTGTGTTGAGGTGTGATCATACTATAATTCTTTGTCATCATCCTCTTGTTTTTTATCTAAGGTTTAATTATATCATTTTTCAAAGAGGTTTGTTCAGTTTGTGAGCTGTTTAGTCCAGAAAAAATGTGCTTGTCACATAATCTGCAAGCTCATAAAAACATCCCAGTCAGCCTGATGAGCCCTGGTATTGGATAAAAGGCTTCTTTGGAACTGGATATGTGGGTGACATATTATAACATATTCTTCTTTGTTTTCATCACGAGTTCTTAAAGTTACTAATGCAGTTTTTCCCCGTTGATGCTGTGGTTACTCCTGGAACATGAAGACTGGCTTGCTTGTTTGTTACTTCTTGTGAATGATAGTAAAGTTATTTTGAATAAAATAATAATAAAGATAAATGTATAAAACATTTTAAAATAAAATTGATAATTATACTTCCCTTCCATAAGCACAACCTGATTCACACTAACAGTTATTGTTCATAAAAACTGATGATATATATATATATATAGTGCCTAGCCCACTACAGTGTCTGTCATATTCTAGCTGTTCTGATAAGGCCCATTATTGGGCGAAATACTTCATCAAATATAGTGTTGACATTTATAACATATTTACCTTTGCTTTTACTAATTGGGTTTTAGAATTATACTAAGAAGAGCAGAAAGAACAAACTAAAAACAGTGATGATTGTTTGACATAATCAGTTCAATATAAAATAATATAATAGAGTAATTCCTACTGTCAAGAAGCTGTTGGCTAATAATGGTGATGTTTAGTAATGCAAAAACTTTTCTTTGGCTGTTTTTCCTTAATTTACTCAAATGTTTCTCAACATAGTGGAAACAATTAAAGAGAAATTACAATAATCTGTCAAATAAGATATTTTCGACAAATAGAAGTTGTATAATAATGAGTTAAAATTAATACTGTTATAGGTTCACGCCTAAACCTGGGACAAGATGAGTCACGTATACCTGTTTTGCTTATTCAAAATCCTGGATGTGAAGATCCATCCCGCAGTAATCTTGGTAACATACTTCATTTCTTATTCAGTAACTAGTTTATTTGTTTAGATGACTGTTAAACCTTTTAGTAAATGGATTAAATGTGTTTTGCATTTTCCTTACTTTCAGTAAGTCTTATGGATTAGTTTCTTTGACCTTTACATCTTAAAACATATTTTTTTTTCCAACAGGATATGGAAGTGGTTGGGACTTGATCCTTCCAGCTGGTTGGGCTCGACCATTTTGGATAGCATTGATCTATCGAGGAGCAAGAGCTTCTGGGCTACGAGAACTAAATAGTGTTTCATTCGAAGCTGGAATGCCTTGTTTTCCATCCAATTATGCAGACACAAAAAGTGGCAAAGTGACTGCTGAAAAACTTAGAAAAGAGTTGACAAAGAAACATTATCGTTATCCTCCAGATAAGCGGCCAAGTTTCGAAAAACTGAGTGTTCAGTCTCCTTTTTTCAATCCATGGACAGAACTTGTTAAGGAATGGCTTACAGAACTTGCCAAGCGACCAGAGAGTAAGACTATGAAGCAAGGTGAATGTCAAGCCTTAAGAAACCCAGTTTTTCCATTGAAAAGAAAAAGAGATGAACTGGAACATTCTGAAGTATCGTTATCTGCTCTAACGTTAAGGCAAATACTTTTGGTTTTTGTTTGAATTAGACAAATCCATCACTGGAAATGGGACATCCAACACAAAACACATGATAGATGGCACAGATTATCCTACAGTGGATGACTTCAGTAACTGCAAGAGTGAAATGTCTGACAATTTTGAGTTAAATTCTTTTTTTGTGCTGAGGGGGAAGCAATATCTACGTTTCTTGAAGGAAACTTGTGATATTCTCCTACAGTATCATCATAAACCGAAACAAGAAAAAGCTAACAAGCTCCAAAAATCGGGTATTGTCCAGAGGCTGCAAAATCATTTGGAGAAAACACCAATTTTAGCCAAGTCAATTGTGTGGGTGAAAGTTTCTCTAATAGGAAGGGGAACACCATGTCAGTTTGCTACAATCAGTATTCCAACAACTGATGACATTACAATGTTACATAAAAATCCAAAATTTGGTGGACCTGTTGAATCAAGGAAAAAAACTGAAAGAAAAAAATCAACACCAGAGGTAAAACCTGGAGAGAAACAAACAACTTTGGAAGAAGAGCAATTGAAGAAACCTGAAGTGAAAGATCTTCTCAAATCATCAAGAAAAATTATTGGGTTCATTGAAACTGGGGGATTTTCTTTTGTCCATGCTCATGGTATTGGTTTTGGATATTGTGCTGTTGTAGGAATTCAGAAGCTATTAGTGGATGCATGTGAGAACCATGCTCAACCAATTGTTCTTGTTAGAGACCAGAATTCATTCCAGTATCGTTTTGCTATGATTAATATTTTGTGTTAACCATACCCCTTTCCGTCAAATACATTGTATGTTTATTCTAATCGCTGTATTAATTGTGTTAATAACATATTGAAAGTATGCAACAGTAAATGGAGAAACTGTACAGCTTATGCTTGCACAAAAGATTGTCATGTATTGGGGGGGGGGGGTTTAGCTTACAACAGAACATGCACTTTTATGTAGAAATTATGTATACTTTAAACATACAACAGCTCTAACTATAAACTTGAAACATAATTCTTGGAATAATATATATGAAAATATTATAAATTGGATCAATGAGTAAATATACTTGCATAAATATATATATATATATATATATATGAAAACATGACCCACAAATGGACTTTCGACCTAAAAATATTGTGATTTTTGAAATATGTATAATAAGAAATACTTTATACAGTTTTTCCAAGTTTTTGGTTTAAGTTTACCATTACAAATTTCTTTAAAATACATACTGTAATAAACTGTATTATTTAATGTGATATATATGTATGTAAATTTTGTTAATATTGTGTGTTACAAAACAACTTGCCTGAATGAACTGTAGAACTTTTAAAGCAGGAATATACTTGTCAACAGCAAGAAAAAAAAAAGATATCATGATATCTTTTAAGTTCAGGTGCATTGCAGAAAATTAGCTGGAAAAGAAAAAAAAAGTAACTAACCAATTCTTCGTAGAAGAATAATGTCCAGTCAGAAGATCACAAGACTTGATTGTTTGGATTGAAAAAAGTGTTTCACTAGAAAGATACAAATTCAAATACTGTTTGTCTTTTTTTTGTGTGTGTAAGCCAAAATTAATTAATTTAGAAATTACCTAAAGTCAGCTTGGAATGACAAGTTTGGTACAGGGTAGAATAAATAGTCAAAATCAAAGACTTCATCAGTATGACAAATGTTGTCATTAAAGGATATATTAACTTTATTACACATCTGAAGTATGAAAAGCATAAAGAGACAATATACACACATGGATCTAGCCAAATCTGTAAGGTAAGGCAGCTTTAGTTTGCTGCATGTATGTCTGCTTTGAAAGATGAATTGCACAATTAAAAAGAGCATGCTAAATTTCATTGTAAAGGTTAAGAAATTGGCAACACAGTAAAGATTACTTGATCAATGTTGAAGAAACACCAACTTGTCAGCTCAAGTATTGCTAAAAGATGCATATTTATCTTAGTTAATAAAAACAGTTGAAAAATATAATTTAAACCCACTGACTGCAGCTGCTCCAAACAGATGCAGAATTTTACAAGCCCCAGAGGCAGACCGTACCCCATATGGCAAATCAGTAGTCAATGGGTTAAGAGAGAGAGACAGTGAAACTTAAAAGTAGCCATAAAAACATAATAAACTAATGTATTTTTTTTTATCATGCATGTTGTTAATATTGCTTGATTCTGTGGTTATAAGCTGATTATGTTATATAATTGGTGTTTATATCTATTGTCAGTTAAATTTCTAATCTTACCTAGTATACTCTTTAATGATAAACTTATGTTCACTGATAAAAACTTGGATAAAAGCAATGGTTTTAGGACAGCCTTCCATGTATTATTCTGATTACAAGTAAATGCTAGATAGACAAATTTCAGACTGTTTAACAACATTTATATTGGAATAAAAAAATTTCATTGCATTTTTTCTTTCAGCTTTATTTTTAGTTACTAGTTACCTTCCACTCCCTTTGTCTTTGTTTTTGGAATAATCAGATTGTGCCAATATACATCCGTAAGAACCACTGGTACATTAAATACTTTTGTTTTCCAAATTAGTTTTCATATCAGGTTGTAGATCAAAAGGTTTGTGTGCAGAACAGCTGAATGTGATGACCATTCTTTATTTGTAGGTGAATTATAAGAATGACAGTCAATCCCATTGGTTCAAAGCCTGTGTGTTGATGGATAGCTATGCATCATTTATAAAACCTTTAAAAAAAAAACAGCTGTATATGTTACACTTTGAAATGAGCTTATTGGTTCATAGAATCACTTTTATTGGGGGAATAGTACAAAACAATCAGACATCTTTGCTAATGGGTCAATGGTACAGTATTAATTTTATCACCAGTCTACTAGTTTTAAAAGTATACTCTGTAATCTTCAGTATTAAGAAAAATTATATCTTTGAAAGGCTTCCATTTTTTTGGGAATAACTATCATAATTGTATTCAATTACTATGGATAGTTACCTTTTAATTGGTTCAATTAATATGTTGTAAACAATACGATTGGTAAGCTATCCACACACGAATGTACTCTGGTTCAGGTCATTTTTATACAGTAGAACAATCCAAAATTATTTGCATTCTGTATCCATTTTATTCAGTTATCGTAATTATTTGTAATACTGTTTGTATAAGATGTTACACTTATTTTTGTATTCAGTATGTGAGGATGGCTTGAGTGATTAATTTTTCCTGGTTATAATGTTAAGGTGCTGTTATAGAAATGTGAAAAGTTTGCTATCACTGCTGGTTCTTCAAGTCAAAATTTAAAATAGTGAATTCTTATTGTGTATACAGAAACCATAAGAAAAAAAGATGACAACACTACTACTTCCACAGGTAATTATAAAATGGGAATTACAACTGTGTATAATTATGATCCTTAGGATAGGCTATATTATTAGGTACTCGGTACATTTCATTACCAAATATTACTATTACTATAATTTGGAAGTCTTTCTTACTTTTTTTTTTTAACCACAGTAGAAATGGGTAAATGCCATGATATTCAAAATTTAAAAGCTAGCTTCATTTAATATATATGTTGCAATTTATTTCATTGTGTATGCCCATTATTACTATTCATATTGGTGATTCTTTATTTTATAGTGCTGAATGCCTAAAATTGGTGAAATATTAAAAACCAACAGGTCTAGTAAATATTATGTATATTAGTGCACAAATCATTATTGAAATAAAGCTTTAAATAAAGTAATACATAGTAAATGAAAAAAAAAATTATGATATCAGATTTCCATTGAATAAAAATAAATTTAATGCAATGGTTTGTACCAGTGAGAAGAGAAAATTAGTATACCCAAAAGTACAGATGCTTATGTAGCAAATGTTTATCTAAAGATCCATTTTGCCTAATATGTGGATCGAGACATATGCTGAAGAATGATGTAGTGCCAATAATTTTCAAGTTTCCTTATACATTTGGTTATGATCGAAACCTCTTCAAAATTTAATAAGTTATCCAAACATGTAACCCTCCATATTAGGTACAGTTGCACATTTTCTTAACATTAAATAACTATTATGAGTCATAAGTTATGGAATGAGCAACATTTCACATTTGTGAAAACGTTTTATTTTTTACAATATTAAACCACACATGATTTGAAACAGATTTAGTTTTAAATAGAAGACTGAAAATTATCCAGTTGCTCAATGAGTGTAATATGTTATCTCTAAGAACACTATATGGAGTTATGAAAGTAACATGTTTATCTTATAATGTTCTTTTCTATAGACATTTATTTGGGGAGTAAGAGAGAAGTGAGTCTTGAGGCCCAAGATGCGAGTCATGCAATAGATCAGGTAATTGGTGTGGAACCAGAGAAAAATTAAAACCCTTTTCTAGAGACTATATTAAAAGAATATTAAAATAAATGACAGATTTTGTCAAAAGGCCTTAAAATATGGGAAATACATTACAAAATAATTATGAAGATTTCTGACTATTGCACAAATTGAAACAGGATAAGGGTCCAACTAGATTCTAAAGTAGCATCATAAAACAGTTCACACTGACTTTTTCATTTCAACAAGAACCAAGGTGTATTTATAAACTGTTTAATTACATTAATCAGATTCCATCTAAATCATAGCTTTCAGACTGTCCCCAGCAAAACAGAATAATTGGGACACAGTGGGGGGGTCTAAGTACTCTGAAAATATGGACTGAACTGAAATAATTGTTGAAGAAAGTTTTATTTTGGCATCAGAAGAACTAGTGTTCATGTTGGTATTACTAAAGAATAAGTTAAAATACAATTGTTAAAAGTTTGCCTACCTAAACTAATTGAAACACAATGGAAAGAACAGTCACTCGTATCTAACTTAGAAGCATTCAAAGAATTAGACTGCAAAGTAGATGGTACACTAAACAGTAGTTTTTCATGATCCACAAACTGACTGTGGTTTTTATAACCCTTGCCACACATTTAAATTGACAAGAAATGCCCTTTCAGACCCAATGCTTATTCAATCACCTAGTAGTAATAGTAAGTGGGCTTTTAGAGAACATTTTCATAAAACACATGAAGCAAATTGGAAAAAGAAAACAAAAATGTTGAATTAGCAATGCAACCACTAAGCTTGTGAATTGCTTATGCCATAAGAAGAGTGGACATCCATTTTTTAATAATGAAGAAGCAACAGAGGAATTTATTCAAATAACTGATAAACTTTGAATTTTTAAAATCGTGGAATCCTTCTCAAAAAGCCTTTCACTTTGCAACAAAAGAATTATTGGATAAAGGTAATTACCAAGACATCAATCATTATTTGAAAATGTTTGTTTTGAGCATCATATTTGCAAAAAATGCCTAGTTTTATTGCTACAAAGCTTTTAATGCAATCAAATGACCCTTTTAGTTATGTACTGAAGTACAAATCCTCTCAAGAACTATTTTTTCATGCATTTAGTTACAAAGAGGGTGGAATGATACCCCAACCATTGTGCAGTTCAAGTGGGATATCAGGAAGTTGTTCCAAAATAGCATAATAGCCAATGGTAAATGTACAAATATTGATACTTCTACTGTCAACTCAATATTTGAGTTCAGGAACTAGAAGATGACAATTATAGAACATTATGATCATATTCACTAGGAGGAAGAAATTACTCATTTCAGATAAACGTTTGATACCATTACTATAACAGTGCTCCAAGACAATATTTTTGGTTTATTGGTAATTATATAAAAAGAAAATTACTCAAAAATTATATAATTACGTTCTATTGCCAAACAATATGGGTAAACAACTATTCCTCAGAAACTTTACGAGGGTAAACTCGTCTAATATTATATTTAAGACTGTCAAATACAGTAGAAACGTTTTTATAAGTAGGCTCAATGACTGCTAAAAATGTTGATTACTGTACAATGTGATGTGGATCAACCCACCCCTTGGTTAATGAATTTTAGTGTGAGGAGATGCACAAAACATAAATAATATGTAAAGTTGTGACAAACTGAGGTTTTTTACCATATGAGAAGAGGTAGACCAAGAAAATGTCTCATCTTTAAGGCAAACTAAATAAGCTTGATTTGTTTAAATATTTCTGAGTTAATAGTCTAGCACCGTGTGAACTGTAGCCATGCCAAGTATTTTTATGTTCAATAAAATATTATTGTAAGACTAACTTTTCTCTATATACCACTTTTACTGTTGACAAGGTATGATATTTTAAATCCAAGCTGGAGAGCTTTTTACTGTAAATTGTACAATTATTTTTTAGTTTGTTATATTACTTAAGAAAATAGATGAGCACTTCTTCAAACCAGTATTGTTTTGGGTACTGTCCTGTTTTCTGATATTTATTTGTGCCTAAATATAGTACGTAATTCTTTATTGTATAACACTATTAGTTACTTTATTCAATGAATTAAATAGACAATGTAATTTTTAATTGAACCTACTGATCTGTATGCCCTGAACAGCAAGCATTTGACAAGTAGCCCCACTTTCTGCAGTCATTCCAGTATACTAATGCAGCTCAGTGGTTTAGCCTTACACACTTGTGTAGGAAAACAATTTGAATTTTTTTTAGTTATAAATATTACACTCTGAAATTAACTGCTGTAGACTACTCACAGTATTTGAGGGGCTCATCATTTTCTGCAGCAAAATTAAAACAAAACATCAACAACCCCAAGGTACACACACAACTTTATTAGGCATATCCAGCAGGTAACTTTAATATCACCCTACCTGCAAAATGTATCTTTTAAATTAATTGCCATTTTAAGTACAAGTGAATAGCCAATTGCAATTTAACAAATACCCTATAACCACAACAGAGCTAGTTACATTATATGAGTTATACTGACTAGAACAAGAGTGACACACTCTAGTAAATTACACAGCAGACATTTGCATAAAGAAGTTACTGGATTAAAAAAACTAACAATTTAAGTGACCAAACATCTTCAGTATAGTTCTATAATTTTTATCACTAGTAAATGTATAATCCCAAGTAACATTCATTAACCCTGAAAGAGTACAAGAACTGTGGTGTTTCACTAACATGAAAGGTTATGGGAATTAGCAGTGCAGAAACACACGTGGTTTGAACTACATGAGTGCTGAACACCAACTGCTAGTATTGATTTGCACTGTATATGTTTTACATAGCATGTTTGTTGACCGTTCACAAAAAGCTATATGTTTGTTTCAATGTTTTATGGTAAGCCTGTTGTAAGCACTGCAGCAAAGACTATGGTTAAAGTACTTTGTACCTCTGTACTATAATGACAAGGCACACCATGAAACATAGCAAATGACCAGACATTTGTAAACACCACTCACAATGATGGACAAATTCAAAGCTCTGAAACAATCATTTACTAACATGGCAGAAACCAACAATTACGCTTCTAGTAATGACATGATCATAACTT